GGGGGGAGCAGGGGACTATTTCTCTCGCCACATGGGCGCCTCTTCCGCCTGCGTCGCATGCCGGTGGCGAGCCGATAGGCTGGCCGGCCGTCTCAGGTGGAGGCCGGCTGGGGAGCCGCCGTGGTCTCGGCGGCCTCGATGGCATCAGCCTGGCGAGCGGTCTTCTCGGCCAGCATGTGCGACAGGAAGGTGAGAACCACCTCGCAAGTTTGCTTGTCGGTCGGGACAAAATGCTTGCCCTGGTGGCTGAGAACCTCCGGCTGGAGGAAGGTCTCCGACAGGGTGACACTGCGGCTGGGGGCCACAATGCGGTCGCCCTCGCCGATGATATGCAACGAGGGGAAGTCCACCGGGGTGTCGAAGAGGTAGCGCAAACTGGGATCGCGCGCGCGGAAGCCGCTCACCAGGATGGCAAAGCGCAGATCCGCCAGCCAGGGGAGCCCGGACCGGTCCGGGCCGCCCTTGGACTTGAGATGCGCCAAAAGGGCCCCCATGGCAGCACCCTGTGAGAAACCGAACACCCCGTCGAAGGGCCCCTGTTCGCGGAAGACCTGCTCCAGGTTGGCGAGCGTCTCATCGAAGCTGTGGTACACCAGGCGCTGGGTATCCATGCGCCACCAGCTCCGCAGGGTGTCTGGGTCCGACGTGTCGAGGACTTGGGAGTTCTTGAGAACTTCATCGGCGGCCAGCTCCTCGGCGGTGAACAGCACCGGGGAGTCGACAAACTCTGGGAACATGCGTGGACAGGGTGATTAAGGGACCGGGACCGGGACCGGGCCCGGGCCCGGGAGAGAGGGGGCGGGACGCAGGCCGAGCGGACGTCGGGCGAGCACCCGGGCCCGGAGAGGGGGGCAGGGAGGAACACAAGCGCGGGGCGGCCGCGATGGCGGCGCGGGGGGGCACCAAGGGGGGAAGGAGGGGGCAACTACAGTGAGTTCAAGCCGAAGCGGGCAGAGATGGAGTGGCGAGCACGCGGGAGGGGGAGACAGGTTTGGGCTGAAGGGGTCCTCAGGGATCCCCCGACCCCTTTCCCCTCGGTGCCGGGGGGGGGACGAGGTCCTGCCCCGGGGCCGGCCGAGTGGTCGGGCCGCCGTGGGTGTGGGTGTGTGTCTGTGTCTGCGTGAACGTGTGGATGTGTGCGAGGGAGGG